AATGCTATAATACCCTTTGCTGTAATTTCAAAAATGTCAATCCACTTGTCAGAGAATGTCATTTAAAAGAATCATGTGTAACAGAATTTAAGCAATAAACTACCAGATCAGTAAGCATGCCTCCAAGCCACAAGTTCAAACCACTCTGATCCCCAAACCAAGCAACTTCTCTGGGAAAACATCTCACCCATTCATTCAGTCAACCCATATTTATTACACTACATGTCAAAGGTACCACAGTAGACCTTAAGGAAGCATCATGTTAATTTTCTATAAACTTGTTGTCAATTTTCTGTAAATCTAAATTTATTTCAAAATAAAAAGTTGAGTATTTTGTAGGCATGAGATCTTACCATTTCAACCACGTTATGAAAATGACTCATTTGGATTAGCTATTATAATTTTCTTATTAGGAGAGATTATTCAATGATGTCAAATTCAGAATCTCAAAACCCAACTCTTACTGAATTACAGAAGACATAACTAGAAAACGAGTCAGTGACTGAAAAGTACACTTGCGAAACACGACATGGTAGTCTGTTAGCAAAGATATATACTCCCAAAAAGACATAAAGCAATGATCATAAAGCAATGGCCCACGACACAAATAAAACGACTGAAAACATAAAATGTCAAGAACTGGACAAAACCAACTGAATCAATATGCAATAAAATTATGACTTGATGAATGTCTGTGGCCAATTTTTATGAATCTGGCAAAAAGACTTTCATTAGGTAAAAGTTGGATTGGTTGAGTTACATACCCAGATTTCAAGTCAGTTATCCTCAAACAGTTTGTAGCATCCAGTCCCACTTTTCCATTGCGGACCACACTAGATATAAATGGGGAGAGCATTGGAGAAATTCGGTTCAAGGCCACTTCTGGGGACATTTTAACTTGACTTGCAAATCACCACTGAAAGCAGAAGGAAAGAACGGTGGTCAGAGTATCTAAAAGAACGACATACACCAAGCTCCCTGAAAACCGGCACAGCACACACAAGTTTCTCTTGCATGAATAAATACCTCATTTTCCTGTCTTAAGCAGCCTCTCCCAATGAAACCATCTCCCCGCTACTCACCTACTTAGGACAGAGACTACACCACTGCTTTCCAGGAACAGAAGCAACCCTTGAAATCCAATTCCCTCCTCTTTTCCAAAGTTGATTTCTACAACGCTACACTCCACTTAAAACTCTCCCATTCAGCTTGCAACTGGCCGGTTCTACTTTAGTTGAGGCCTTAAGAAGCCTTCGCTGACAATCCTCTCCCCCTTAACACACAAACCCCACACACCAGTAGGTTAGGAATCCTCGCTTTGTGAATAAGAACTTGGCTGATAATACTATCTAAAAACCTAGAACAAGCATAACCTGCTTGCAAGTCACTTACTAGAAATTATTTTCTTCTGATATACTTCTCTACATAGTTTTCATAACTGTTACTGCACAGTGTATTATAACCATTGGAGAGAGATCACAAACTAAACACTCAATAAGCATTTTTAAATAAATAAATAAGGAGACAAAAGCTAGAGAAATATTCAGGTATATCGAGAAGATAATATGCCCTCAAACACTTGGTAGAGGATAGCATATCTAAGGAATAGATGCAGCAAAAATCTACTTAACAATTAAATCATGAAAACATATAACTGTCCAGATATTCAGCAACCCAAACTAACGTGGATCTAAAAGTCTTTGACTGTACTGTAAGGTGCTTAAGAAGTCCTTAAACTTGAAAATACAAAAGTAACACCAATAAATCATACCTAAACTACTTAGAAACCCATGGGGCTGGGGGAGGGAGTACATGAATTCCTTTTAATAGATCTCTAAGTGAAAGCCTCTACTTTCAGAGGTGAATAAGTCAACTTAAATGATCATTTTCTTTCTCAATCTGAAAGGATAATCCCACATCTAAAGCAATTAATTACCCGCAAGTTACAAGTAAATGATGTTTTGCTTCTAGTTTTCATATATTATACCATATGAGGACTTACGTGTTCCTGCTAAAATAAATGTTGAAAACTAGTACCTGTTTTAATAATTTCAGACAGTAACAAAGGTAAGAACTACAGTGATCTTTCAAAAGATAATAATACTGTGACCCTTCTGGGTGAGGACACTCAGAAGTATCTTGGGCATGTACCTTGGTTGCAGGCTCCTCCTCAGCCCGGGCCCTGGTCAGGGGGCGTGCAGGAGGCAACCAATCAATGTGTTTTGACATTTCTCTCTGTCTTTCCCTTTCTCTTCCACTCTCTCTAAAAATCAATGGAAAAATACCCTTGGGTGAGGATTTAAAAAAAAAAAAGAGCTTCCATATACATTATTGCAGTTGATCTTTATACCCCTGGGTAGTAAGGAATTCCCATTTTAAAGATGGCACAGATAACTTTTATAATGCCTTTGAAAAGTATACTAATCTATAGTATCATTTTGAAACCTATTTTTTTCTATTCTACAGTGTTTCCACTTTTTTTTTTCTAATCACTGATGTCACAGTTCTTGAAAGGATGATTACCTAAATCATATGCAAATACAAAAATACTTATCCAGGAAAAAAAACTGAAGGACCTCACCTACATTACAAAATTACTCTTCCTCTCCCTGGTCTGTGTTTCTTAGTGGTTAGAGCGTTGGCCTGAGAACTGAAGGGTTTCAGGAAGGATCTCGGGTTTGATTCTTGGTGGAGGGCATGTACCTGGGTTGCAGGTTCATCTCCAGCCCCTGGTGAGTGCATGCAGGAGGCAACCAATCGCTGTGTCTCTCTTACACTGATGCTTCTCTCTCCCCGACCCTCCCACCTCCTTTCCACTCTCTCTGAAAATCAATGGGGAAAAAATATCCTTGGGTGAGCATTAAAAAAAAAATTATCCTTGTTTTTCCATAATTTTAATTATGGGACATATCTACTGTAATTGTATCTCTCATTTCTATGAAAAATGAAAATAGAACATTCTGAACATCTATTCGGTATCAAGCACTGTCCTACCCACTTCAATCTGTAATCTCATTTACTTCCCCTGAACAATCCTGTCCTCTGTTTAATATTAGTTTCCACTTCATTAGTGGATAAGAAAACTAATACTCAACAAGACTAACTTGTTCAAAGTCCCCAACCTAGCAAGCAGAAGGATCAGAATTCAAATCCAGATCCCCCTCAAAGTCCACTATTCTCATTTTCCTCTCAAATAAACATAACTTCAATCACCAAAGAGAAAAGCATAGAAGTGAATTTTTTTAAGTATACATCTCTTAAAATGTGGACAAAATGGCATGAATTTAGATTCATGGTTGCTTTACAACTAGAAACAACTACTGTTTGCCTACTGCTGAAATTGGCCTGACTGACTGCACCAATCAAATGCTAGAGGGAGAAGAGATAAACCAAATAACTTATATGCATAGCCCATGCACAGGGGCAATAGGGTAGTGAAGACCTGAGAGGGAGGATGGGGGGGGGGGGGGAGATATCCGTAATAATTTCAATAAAAATACATTTAAAAATGCTAAAGGGAATAAACCTACTCCAGAAACCAAACTATACTTAAGGGTGACAACAACCCATTCCATTTCAGCAACTGTCATGACCTTAGAATGACACCTGAAGGAATGAATTTGTCTTTGTTTCCAGAACAGCCAAAATACTATTTTCTGACAGTTCAAGGTTTCATGCAGTGTTAAAATCTGTTTCAAGCGTGAGGTGCTGTGACTGCTCTAAAGGAGAGGGGAAACTACTCCAAAATCAGAGGTCACAGAATGATGGGTCTTTTGGTGTGGTCCTGTTGAGCCAGGGGCATGGCTGCGGGGATCACCCCCCCACACACCCCTCCCTCTACCCCCCAACCCACCCCCAACCCCACCCCCAACCCCCAACCCCAGCAGCTTTTACACATCTCAGCATTGTAACAGATCGCAGGCAGGCAAAACTTCACGGTGGCCAGCCTCCCCTGAATGCTAGTTAGGCCATTTGTATTTCCTGATTTTGACATATTACAGAAGGAAAATGCAGCAATACAGTTTTTACAGGTGTCTGCTGCCTCAGACTGAGGTCACATCAGGTCCTTTGATCGGCCACCTGGGGAATACAAAGACTTCTAAAGCGTTGTCCAGTTTCTTGCCATTAAGATGGGATGACAAACACGGAAACATGTGCCCTGCTGACGTCACGGAACGGAAAGGGGTAGCGTCCAGCTGCGTCACGTCAACGTCATGGGCGCACGAGGCAAGTTACACGGGGGGGAGTCATTTCTCCGAGGGACAGCACTCAAGAAAAACAAGCCGGCTACGACCCACAGAATGATCACCCCAATTTAGGAGCCATTTAAGAGGGGCACTCTCCCTTCTCCCAAATTGTATGACCCCCTCATCACGCGGGAAAGAGGGAGAAGTCAGGTTAATCGGGGACCAGGGGCAGTATAGACGAGGAGAAAGAGTAACGCCTGGCCTGGAGGATGCCGTTCTTGAGGGGACCGGCGTGACGGGGACGAGCAGGGCATCTCTGGAGCCGGGCCTTCTCTACAGGAAGGGGAGGCGAGCTCTGGGCACGGCCCTTGGCACCACCTGTGCGACTCGGGGTCCAACCTCCCCACACCAGCCCCAGTCTAGGTACCTGGAACTTAGTCCGTTCGGTAACCGGCGACTACGTGGGGTACAGGTTACCCGAGCGCGCCCCCGACCGACGCACCGCGCTGCGCGCGCACCGCGGGCCTCTGCGTGCTCGTGCCCGGATGTCCGCCCCGCCCCCTCTGCGGCCCCGCCGGGCGGCGTGCGCGCCGGACGCCCCTAGCCGGGCTCTCGGAGAGGCGTCCCCGCGGTGCCTGAAAGTTCCCTGTTCGGTGCTTTCCCCGCTGCGGCGAGCGGCGCGGGGCCGGGGACTATCAGCCGGGCCTGAGGCGGGAGGCGGGGCCGGGAGACAATTCCTGGAAGCACTGGGGGCAGCGGGTGGGCGGGGCGACTTCGGGCATTCAGGTGGGCGACCCGCCTCGGCCTCCGGAAGGCCCGGGGAGTTAGGGAGGGTCAGCGCGGCGTCTCTGGCAACGGGGTCGGGCAAAGGGTAAAGGGCAGCTTCCTGGTTGGAGAGCACCTCGCTGGGGCCATGGCCGCGCGGGGGGAACCCGGGCGGCAGAGGCAGGAGGCGGTGGCGGCCGTGGTGGTGGTGGGCTCCTGCATGACCGACCTGGTCAGGTTTGTCCGGGGCCAGTACGCGGAGTCCGGCTGGCGGGGCGGGGGGCGTGTGCACTTCCCTGCGGAGGCGCGGGGGCCGTGCAGGTGAGCTGTGCTGGCTTTTGGTGTGAGCTGCGGGTTCCCCCAGCCCGCAGGGTGCCTGATGGGCTGCAGGCGGTAGGGTTAGTGTGTCAGGCGAGGGGCCATTGTGGCCAGGGCGTCGTGAACGCGCTAATGGTCCTGGAAGCGCCTCCAAAGCCCTCCTCCTGGTTTCCTGGCCAGGCTGCTGAGCCTCCCCACCCCCCACCCCCCACCCCCCACCCCTGCCAGCAGCCGAGTGAGTTTGGCCAAGTCATTTTACCCCCAAGAACGTGATGCGCCTCCCTGAGCTGTTGGGAGGACTAAAGGAAGTAAAGGGTTTTGCCCGGAACCCCATCCAAGCTGGGTATTCTTGTCTGAGCGTCTGCAAAATGAGTGGAGCCAGAGGTCAAAAAGGCGCAGTCACCTTTAGCCATATTGATTGTTGGCATCCCTGCAGCATTACATATTTACAACTTATTTTACAGTATCTAGTAACCATGGGTGGCAACGCGAGTGTGCGTCAAATAAAACCCGGTAAACAATATTTAATCCATTTTTTAAAATATTTGTTTGTTTTAAATATATTTTTATCGATTTCAGAGGAAGGGGGGCGGGGGGAGAGAGAGAGAGAGATGGAAACATCAAAGATGAGAGACAATCGGCTGCCTCCTGCACACCCACACTGAGTATGGAGCCCTCAACCCAGCCATGTGCCTTGACTGGGAACCCATCAATGACCTACTGGTTCATAGGTCGATGCTCAACCACGGAGTCACACCGGCAGGGCTACATCCATTTTTTCAAGTGATCAAATCATGGCCCTAAGCTGGTTTGGCTCAGTGGACAGAGCCTCGGCCTCCTTTGGGTCGAGGGCACATGCCCGCGTTCAGGGCTCCATCCCCAGTGGGAGGCAGCCAATCAATGATTCTCTCATCACTTATGTTTCTATCTCTCTCTCTCTCCCCTCTCCCTTCCACTCTGAAATCAATAAAATATATATATATTTTTAAAGTGATCAAATCATGAAAGAGTGGTTGATGAGATTAGATAGGGAGAGCCTTTCAATTTATCTTTTTTTTATGAAAATGGCTTTTTTTATTATAGAAGTAGTATTCATTGTTTAAAAAAAAAAAGTAAAAGGGTCAGGTATTCCAAGAAAATCGTACCACCCAGATTGCTTCAGTTTAATATTTGGTGAATAGCTTTTCAGATATAATGCCATTTTTATATTATAAAAATAAAAAATGATCAGGCATTACTACAGTAAGACCTCATCTGTCCTGCAACCTTGCTTTTCCAAAAGATAGCAGAGAACCTAGAAATAAATAAAAAGACCTTGGGATAATCAAAACAAGTCACCAAATCCCAGCACCAAGCCACCTTTGTTGTTGTTGTTTTTAACCTGGAAAATAGTTCCAAGGTTTTCACATAACCAGTTTAATCTTATATAGCTTAAAATGTTTATAAGCTCTAATTTCCAGGCCAAAATTAGAAAAAAATGGAGAGTAAAGGGGAGAGACTGCTAGGGGTAGATAATAGCGATTGCCCGAAACCTGAAAGTGAATGGGAGAGTGTAACAGCCAACAAGAGAATTTTAAATGCCAGTAGCCTTTGTTTTCCCACAAATATTTGAGCCACCTTGTCAGACACTGTGCCAACATAGATGTCCTTCCTTTGGTGACAGCGCATAACATTCAGCCTAGTTGTGAAGAGGCCTACACATCTTTTTGTAGAGCAAGAGTCAGCAAACCTTTCTGTAAAGAGCCATATAGTAAGTATATAAGGTCTATTCTTAAAAAACAAACAAACAAAAAAACTCAAAATGTAAAAACTATTCCTATCCCCCAGGTCTTGTAAAAACAGCCTTCAGGCCATAGTTTGCTGACTGTTCTCTAGAGCATCACTGTCTTACAGCCCACTCTAGTATGATGTTAGTCATATGACTCTTTTCAAGAGAAGACAATATGGTACCCGTTAAATTTTATATAAAAGTAGGGCATGTGTTTTTTAGAAGCCGTCCCATCAAATATATTGAAAGCTTGTTACGTAAAGAAATAAATCTTCAATAAACCTTCAGACATCTAAAGTAATAGATTACTTAGAAAATCCATCTGGTGAAATTTTTACCATAGGTGAAGTTGCAGAAGAGTAAGAAAGCTAAACAAGTTTCCCAAGTAACCTACCTAAAAGTGTCAGGGTTAAAATTCAGAGCCACTTTCTTGTTACACTACATAGGGGCTTTCTGTGAAGCTTGACCCTCAGACATTAAAGATAAATTACAGTACTTTCTAAAGTGAATACTCTTAACGTTGGGGATTTATAATTCTCAGGTCTAAAGATAGAAATAAAATAAGGAATAGTACTGAAGATACTAAGTTTAACTGTACACCCATGCCTATATTGTAGAATCACTAGAAATAAAACTACTTCAGCAGCTAAGCCCTCTTGGATGGCATCCAAGTCCAACTCACTTTATACATTACATTACTGTGTGCCAGACACAGCTAATTCCATCAGTGAGCTACTTTTAATTCATTTCTAATTTTAGTCCTCTATGAAGAGTAAGTCCTGCAGTAATAATTTTTTAAAAATCATTAGCTCATCTAACATGGCCAATAGTGAATATTATTTAATACCTACCTGTATTTATCATTCTTCTCTTCCTTCTTGAACACTCTTCTCTGAAGTTCCACATTGCTAACTCAAGCCTCTTCTTGTGGAAAATTAAGTCCGTTCTTCCAAAGACAGATTACCATGAAAAACCAATAACACATGACTTTTTTAGGCATGAGGCTCACAGGTCTTGGCTAATCATGCTTTCACTAATAATCTTTATTTCTTATGACATGTATCACACATTTTTTCAATTATTCATTCAACAGATATTTTACACTATGTGCCAAGCACTTTCCTAGCTGCAGAGGACACAACAATGAAAAACACAGCCAGAAACCCCTGCCTCGTGGAGCTTACATCCTAGTGGGAGAGACAGGATCAGTGGAAATAAGTAAAATGCGTAGAATGTAGATAAATGCTGAGGAGGAAAATAAAGCACAAAGGCAGGGCGGAAGTACTAATTTCAGATCATTGGCCAAAAGCCTCGCGGCGAAGCTGATTTTGAGTAAAGACCTAAAGGAGGAAAGGAAGCAAACCATACAGATACCTGGGGCTTCCCATTGGCAAAGACCCGGAGGCGGGATCATGCCTCTTATGATCAGTGAACAAGGAGCTCCGTGTAGCTTAAGAGAAAGTGGATGATTAAAAGACATTGGCTCGTATCCTGAATGAAATGAAAACCCATTGGCAAATCTGAGCAGAGGAGTGACATAATGTGACTTATATTTTAATATAATCACCTGGGAGCTATGTGAGAATGGACAGGAGGAAGGCAAGGGCAGAAGCAGGGAGGCCAGTTCAGGGCCGTTCACAACAATCTAGGCAAGAAATGATGGTAGCTTGAACGCAGTGCAAGTGGAGATAAATGAGCATCTTTTGATTGTATTTTTTTTTAAAAAAATATATATTTTATTGATTTTTTACAGAGAGGAAGGGAGAGAGATAGACAGTCAGAAACATCGATGAGAGAGAAACATCGATCAGCTGCCTCCTGCACATCTCCTACTGGGGATGTGCCCGCAACCCAGGTACATGCCCTTGACCGGAATCAAACCTGGGACCTTTCAGTCCGCAGGCCGACGCTCTATCCACTGAGCCAAACCAGTTTCGGCTTTTGATTGTATTTTGAATGTAGAGCTGACAGGTTTTGCGGAGGAGTACATAGGTCAAGGTCCGTGGCCAAGTTCTATGGCCTCTGCCAGCAGAAAGGGAAGTACCTTTGCTGAGATACAGAAGACGGTGAGCAGAGCAAGTTGGGCAGGGAGAAGGCAATATCAGGCGCTTAGGAGGGACATCTGAGATTTGAGATGTCTATTGGACATCCAACTGAAGACCGCTAGCTATAGGAGTTCAGATTTTAGAAGAGAGGCCCAGCTGGAGATGTAAATTTGAGAGTTGTCAGTGTATATAGATGGTATTTAAAGCCATAAGCAGGATGAGATCACCAAGGGTCTGAGTTTCTAGGGCACTCTAACCTTCAGAGGATACATTTTTTATACAATTTATCTCCTGTCTCCAGGTCTCTACCACTAAAACTTGCTTTGAGACAAGTCTAATAGAAACCCATGTTTACATTTCCATGGCAATAGACTATGATGTCAGCTAAAACCCTATGTTACATGTTCCAATTAAAAGTGATGGCTTGGGAGATAAGGCTCATGTTCAGCCAAGCATCCACATTTAATCCCTGGCAACTCAGGAAATGATTGCTCAGTTCTCAAGAGATTTTAATTGGATAGTGGAATAAGTGAATCAAGAAGCTTTTAGATCCAAAGTTGGATGAAACATTGGACCTGCATTACTAACAAATTTAAAAAAAAACAGAAAAGAAAAAAAAATCAGCTAAAATGTTACATAGACTGTGTAACATGTACATAGAACGTGTTTGACATGTTACAGTGACCCTCTAACCTGCATTGCACCAGAAGCCCCTTGACTTGTGATATCTAGAACATCAAAATCTTTTGCAGTCACAATTTCAGAGAAGCAAAAGCCAAAGGAATATTGGTCCAAAAAGTATTATGCTTTCCCAACATTAGAGGAATATAATATCCTATCTTATTCTTTCTGCCCCTTAAATTGTCTTGCAAGTTGCTTAGCAGTTACCAATCAACATTTACATTAGTATTTTGTTAAACATGTTTCTGTTAACTGAATTCCCCTAACATCAGAAGAAATCACTTATGGGAAACTTGCTAATTTGGAGCCCTTCCAAGAAAATATGTTAAAAAGTAAATTACATATGACCAAGAGCCACATACTGTGTGGTCCCTTTATAAACCATTCCTTTGCCAGCTCTTTTTGCCATAGTGTCTATATTCTTG